TTTTTTTTTTACAAAAAAATAACTCGACAAAATTGCCTTGTCTGTACAAAAACATCTAATAAAATAATTTGCAGCAACCTTAAAATAAAATTCCCTGACTTTTCACTGACTTTGAACAAGGATTTAGAAACTCTCAGACCTGATACAAAACTACCTGACTTTTCCCTGACCTTGAAGAAAATCTAACTTTCCCTGACTTTTCCCCAACCATGGCAACCCTGTCATAACCGTAATACCTACAGAATAAGTGCCAGCAACCCCATTCCCCCTTTCAATGTTGGAAGATAATAAAATGAAAACTCATGTTAGATGAAAGTGTTTTGTCAACATTACACAGGGGTGGGGAGGGACAAAATGCATATAAAATGAATTTCTCCAATCCTTGAGACCAAGGTCGTCAGTAAAATTTTTTAAAACAGTTTATTAACATTGCTGTATTATAATTACACAATAAATTCAGATAAATTACTTTCTGATTTTCAGACATGCTTGACAAGAAATATTGACCTTTGAACTTTGTTTGATACAGTACTGTGACAAAACAATGAATATTTTCACTTTCTTGATGGAAGAAAGATTGGGAAGTTTGTGTTTAATATAGTGGATTATGAATATTCACACTAAACAATGTATTTTTTTTTCCCTTCCTTGTTCCTAACAAAAGGAGACGGTCAAACTTCCAGAAGAGGTGGCTTGTTCTGCCGGTGGCTGGCTGATTTTGAGAAGGCAGAATTACGTTTTTTTCCCCCAATTTTTGTTGGGGTTCTTAGAATGACATGGACACCACCAACCCCTCTCAGCTCCTATTACCCTTCCCTACCCTGCAGATCTCATATCAACCCACANCCCTCCCCAGGCCCTACTATTTCCAAGGCCGGATAACGCTATCCACCGGATAAAATGCTATCCAGTGGATTAGTGTTGACAAAACAAACCCTGCTTTCCGCTGGATAGTGATTTATCGTGTGGATAGCGTTCTCAGCCTTTGGAACAACCCGAGCCAGATCTTTTTCTAATTTTTTGTTATTGGTTAAACATTTTGTTAATTAATTATTTAGATTTGAACATCAGATCTCTGACTTTGTAGCCCAATGAAGAGGGGAGGGATACTTAGTTATATGGCCTCAAATAGAGTACGTTTTTCACCCTGGCTTGGCACTAGTTTTTGTTTACAAGGAACTTTTTCCCACATCAACATTGGCAAATTTGTGGCCCTTCTCAAATGTTCACATGAATGGAATCCATTTCTGGTTAACTGCAGTCATATTTAGAGCCGTATTCTGTCTAATTTTAAAGGTCTGAAATGATCTTGATCTGAAATAGGGTACAACGGCCACACACCCCCACCATAAACGTTGGGGAGTACCCCCTGGGTTTGGAGTCCACCCACCTCTCCACTATCCCACACAATCAATGCAAGCAATCGTTGCAAATTTGATCATGTTTGTTGATCTAATAAGTTATTAGTTCCAAACTCACCCTAACGCTTACACTCTGACACAAATTTACTTAGGTTGAAATCATTCTGACCTAAAGAACAAATATTGACCTACAACATGCACATCATAGAAAGTGGAACATCATTATGGTGGATGTATGCTCTATTAAACGTTTACTCATGGTGCACTTGTACCTCATTTCCAACCAAGCACAAAAGAGGTGCAAGGTGTGTCTCTTCCTTGAGAAGCCCCTCATTTAGCACTTTGAGCAGTTTGCCAACATTCAAACCACAAGAAACTATCATCTACCAAAAAAGTATGCAATCATGTATATTTTATTAATTGAAAGTCATTTCTGTAAAGAAAATAAAAGGTTGCAAGCTCCACATTTAATTAGGAGACATATTTTTATATTAAGTAATTCACCATACTTTACTTGGATATCTAAGTTAAGGACTTTAAATATTCCAACTAAGCAAAAAGGACTCTTTTCTTACTGACTTTAATTGCCTCTAGCATGTTAGCTTAAAACATTTTAACCATTCATTATATATAGCAAGCTAAAGGAAGCCACTGTCAGATACATGTACCCGCTATGTGTGAGTAAACAGAGTCAGTTTTAAGGTCATTCCACTGAAATAGAACCTGCACTGAGATTTTTGTGAAACTTTGCCTACTGATTATTTATATTAGAGGAACTTAAATTTTTGAATGAGATTAAATTTCGATAAACATTTCAAAATAAAAAATAGCGATAGAAATTTTACACAATGTTTTGCTGTTTTGATGACATCATTATCAAGTGACAAGAAAATAACGGTTCAACAGTGTTATATATGCAGTGAGAGGTGTGATTGTTCATTAACATATTTGTTTAAACAAATA